ATGGATTCAATGTTGGTTCTCAGAGTACTGATCTCACCTCTCAATGAGGTGATATCAGTATGCATTACCTCTAATTTGGCGTTTATCTCACTTCTTACTGAGGTTTGTGCAGCTTCTATTTTTGCATCCAATTTTTGTTTGATATCCTGTATATCTTTTGATAGTTCATCCTTGTGCTCTTTCAATTTCTGATCCATTTCTCGCTTTATTTCTTGAGTCATTGCCTCCAGCAACCCTTGGATGTAGTTTTTGTCTTCCATTCCTGCTTTGCTCCCACTGGGGCTCTCCCCTGCGTGGCTGCTGGCTTTTGAGGTGAGCTTGCTGTCCTGGGTAGTGGTAAACCTTGTGATTTTTCTCTGTGATTTTCGCATGGGGGTTCAGGAGACTGCTCTTCAATCTTGTTTTGGTGTGTCTGTCTTTGCTTGGTTGCTGATTCCTGTAGGTCGTCAGTTGTTGTTGCAGTCCGTCAGTTGTTGTTGCAGTCCCTTATTTATTCTCTTAAAAAAATAATGTTTCCTATATTTTTCCAGTTCTCTCTTGCAGGCATTCCTCAGTTGTATGGGGACTTGCACTCTATCTTATATTCTCCCCTCCTGGGAAATGATAGTTCAAGAATCCATAGCACTGTTCATGTGAGATGACAAATTAGTGCTTCCTCTCTTTGAAGTACTTCTGCCAAGTTCTCCTTCACTTGGAAGCAATGCCTCTCTAACACCAGTAAAAGCAAACGCCAAAACGTTCATGGAACTTAAACATAGTGCTCTTCTGTTTCAATAACATAGAACAAAAGACATAGAGCAAAGATGTGGGAATTTTCCTAGTCTCAATGGTAAATGTTCATGTTTACAGGCTTCACTATGCCAGTGTTTGGTGCCAGATCTGATCAGCAGAGGCATCTGCACACTCTGGGTAATATATATATGGAACATGTGGGATCCTTGAAAGCATGGGTCCCAAGGCAGGTTGCCCATCTTACTTGAAGCTGACTAATTTCTCATTCTCTGCAGTACTGATTTGTAGGGCCAGATCATTCATTTGTTGGTCTTTGTCATACATTATAGATGCTTAGCAGTCTCTAGCATCTATCTACCTTAGCACTTCTTGGGTGCTAAATTATGACAAACCTAAATGATTTAGACATTTTCAGATGCTCCTGGGTTTAGGGCAAAATCATTTCTGGTGTTAAACACTGGTTGAAGGATAATACTGGAAAGACACACAATATAGGTTCTATTTGGAGCTACTACGAAGAAATAGTCTGCTTGGGAAAGGAAAAGAGCACCAGTTTAACCAGACAGGGGTTCTGATGGTGTGTTTTCCTTTAGTTTTGGCCATTTGGAAGCTCAAAATTGAATTAGATGTGTACCACATTAAAGAACCTCAATTCTTGACAAGAAATGTACTTATTACTTTATGTAACTGTAACCCCTCTGTACATCACCTTGACAATAAAAAAAAGAACAATTCCAGGCCTGATGTTGGAATCTCAATTCTCAGGCTGATTTTTTATTTCTAATATAAAAATTCTTTTGGAGGGGCTGGGAAGGTGGCTCAGTGGTAGAGCACTTGCCTTGCATGCTTGAGGCCCTGGGTTCGATTCCTCAGCACCACATAAGCAAAAAGAAAAAAGCCGGAAGTGGCCCTGTGGCTCAAGTGGTAGTGTGCTAGCCTTGAGCTGAAGAACTGAGGGACAGCGTCCAGGCCCAGAGTTCAGGCCCACGACTGGACAAAAAAAAAAAAATTATTTTGGAAATGGTTTCATGTATTTGAAGAGATTGACAGGCAAAATGGTGCTGTATGAACTCTAGCCTGGGGAGGCAATATCTGGGTATTGATAATGTCACAAGAGCCCCCATTTTTCGTGTGTGAATTAGGCTCCTTGCAGCAGTTGAGGGCAGTGAATAGAAGTCATGAATGTTGGAGAGAACAAGGAAGGTATTGTTTGGTAATGATAGGGCTTTCTTTGTGGCAAGCACATTGGAGATATTCCTTGGTTTTTCCCCTGCCAGAAATAATTGTGGGATGCTTTCTGGGAGTAGGACTGGGAGCTGACATTCAGAAATCAAGCTGATGGGAGTTCATGCCATAGTAATTTGGGTGTTAAAGTTAATGTGTACTTCCAGTTTGGAGACAGAAGAGTGAAGTCATTTCTTTCTTTGGAAATCACCCAAAAGCAACAAACAAGGAGAATGAGAAACAGAAGTGCAAACTCCATCTTCAACAAAACTAAAAGATATCCAAACTCTTAACTGAAATGGAGAAAGAACTGAAAACAAATCCCACATAAGGCTACAGCAGGATGTCCAGGATCTCAGTGAGCTGGCAGAGTGTTTGCTTTATGGTGAGTGTTTGCAGGACCAGTGTGCCAGAATGGCAGAGACAGAGATGTTGCATTTTGAACAGACATAGAATCTAATCTTCATTTATTCATACACACAATCCTGAATCATGAAAGAAACTTCTGCTAGCCTGACCCTTCACTAACATGAAAACCCCATAGAAGTTTGGAGAGAACCTGATTTACTGATGAGCCATGAGTTTTCTTAATCTACGAAAATGACAATTCTTTTCTCTCAAAAGGTTCTCCTCCCCCTCCTCCCCCTCCTCCTCCCCCTCCTCCCCCTCCTCCCCCTCCTCCTCCCCCTCCTCCCCCTCCTCCCCCTCCTCCTCCTCCTCCTCCTCCCTCTCCTCCCCCTCCTCCTCCTCCTACTCCTCCCTCTCCTCCCCCTCCTCCTCCTCCTCCCACTCCTCCCTCTCCTCCCCCTCCTCCTCCTCCCCCCCCCCCTCCTCCTCCTCCTCCTCCTCCTCCCCCTACTCCTCCTCCCTCCTCCCCTCCTCCCCCTCCCCCTCCCCCTCCCCCTCCCCCTCCCCCTCCTCCCTTCTCCCCTCCTCCTCCTCCCCCCTTCCCCCTCCTTCTCCTCCCTCCTCCTCCTCCTCCTCCTCCTCCTTCTTTCTTCTTCTCCTTCCTTCTCCTCCTTCTCCTTCTTCCTTCTCCTTCTCCTTCTTCTCCTTCTTCCTTCTCCTTCTCCTTCTCTTCCTTCTCCTTCTTCCTTCTCCTTCTTCTTCTTTCTTCTCCTTCTTCTTCTTCTTCTTCTTCTTCTTCTTCTCCTTCTCCTTCTCCTTCTTCTCCTTCTTCTCCTTCTTCTTCTTCTTCTTCTCCTCCTTCTCCTCCTTCTCCTTCTCCTTCTTCTTCTTCTTCCTTCTTCCTTCTTCTTCTTCTTCCTTCTTCCTTCTTCTTCCTTCTTCTCCTTCTTCTGGCTTTAAAACTTCCTGCTGGCTTTAAAACTGAGAACCTCAAATCTCAACCTCTTGAGTAGCTTGGATTACAGGCTTGAGCAACTGTTGCCTAGCAAGAGGTTATTCATGTTCACATGCTACATTCAATCTTACAAAGGTTACTGTTGACTTTTTTTTTTTGGGGGGGGGGGGTCAGTTGTGAGGCCTGAACTCTGGGCCTGGGCGCTGTCCCTCAGCTCTTCAGCTCAAGGCTAGCACTCTACCATTTGAGCCACAGAGCCACTTCTGGCTTTTTCTGCTTATGTGGTGCTGAGGAATCGAACCCAGGGCCTCATGCATGCAAGGCAAGCACTCTACCACTGAGCCAACTTTCTAGCCTCCCTGTTGGCTCTTTTTTCAAAATATATCCAGAATTCATTTCTCATGACTACAACCATTACTATACTAGTCCAAGTCATTGTGCTTACCTACAATATTGCTGTAACTCCATAAGCCTGCCATATTTTTTTTTGGATCCGGTCTTGGGGCCTGAACTCTGGACCTGGGCGCTGTCCTTCAGTTCTTCAGCTCAAGGCTAGCATTCTACCACTTGAGCCACAGTGCCACTTCCGGCTTTTTTCTTTTTCTTTTGCTTATGTGGTGCTGAGGAATCGAACTCAGGGCCTCATGCATGCAAGGCAAGTGCTCTACCACTGAGCCACCTTCCCAGCCCCGCCATATTTTTTTTTAACACAACAGCCTAATAACCAATATTGACCATGTTACTCTAATAAAAATTCTCCAAGGTCGTCTCATCTTCAGAATAAAACCCAAAATTCATCTACTGCTCTAATTATGTTTCTGTTCTCTTAGAACTCAGCTTACAACCCCTTGCTGCCTGTGCTTATTCTGTCATTGCATCTCTTTACTCTGCCTTAAAATATCTCACACACACACACACACACACACACACACACACACACACACACACACACACACACACACAGTTGTGTAGCTCTCCTTTACCAGAAGGCAAGCTTCATTTGAGCAGAGACTGACTTTGATGTACCCCTCAGTGTCTAGGAGAGTGCCTATTAATAGAGGTTCTCAATAAGTATTAGTAGTTGTTTGAATAGTAAAAAAAGAATGAATGCAGGATTTGTATGAGGATACTGCAATAGAGAAATAAATAATGTCAGGTGATGAACATTTGCCAGAAAAACACTGCCTCGAAATATTTCAACAATATGAAACAGTTTATAACTCTAATATTATAATGAAAATTTAGTTTCTATAAAGAAGATAGGCTGAAATGTGAGCAGGAAGAGAACTCAAAAATTGAAATATAAAAAGTGAAAATTAAATCGGAATGATAGAATGTACAATACTGAATCACAAGGGAAGAGAATAAAAATGACAAAAATGAAATGACATGGAGGCAGGAGATGAAATGTGTGCAAATGGAGTTCCTGAAAGAGAAAAGCTCTATTTTACAAATGAAAGCATTGAGACATCTTGCTCATATGAAAAAACATAATAGGTTTTAGAAACCTCATCCAATCCTCTAACTCTTAAAATTAGCCCCAAACTCTGTGATCTTCCATTGAAATTCATTCATTTGTTGGGGATATCACTGCAAACTATCTCTACTACTCTTTCCTATTGCCATAACAGAATGCTACAGGCTTCATAATTTATAAAGAAAAGAGGGCTGAGTGTGTAGGTTAGTAAAGCACTTGGCTAGCATGTGTGAAGCCCTGGGTTCAATCCCTAGCACATAAAAGTGTGATGTGTTAAAGCAGCAAGCACAGTTGTGCTGCGTTTTGGATATTTAGTTTTTTCTTTAGTTGAACACCATCTTGGTGTTTTCATTTATACCATCTAATATATGACACACTGTTGTAGTATGTATAATTTTGTGGTCTTTATTTCCCTTTGTATTCATTTTAAGCATCTATTAAATAAATTGTTGTATTGTGAAAAAAAAAATTAAGCCGGATATACTGTAGAGGGTAGTTCTTTGAATGCTAGGCAACATAGTTAAGACTTCATTTAAGAAATAAAAAGTTTAGGACCCTGTTATAGCCCAGTGGTAGAAAATGTACTAGCATTCTTAAGGCCCTAGGTTTGATTACTAACAACTCCTCTCCCCCCTCCCCCCCAAAAAAAAGTTATTCTGAGGCTGAGATATCTACAAACCCAATGTCAGTAGTTAGTGAGGGCCTCTTGTGATATCATCCATAGTAGAGCGGAAGGGTAGAAAGAGCATGTGTGAAAAGCACAAGGGGTTGAACCTGCTTTGTAACCACCTGCTCTTGAGGTGACTTTCCACAGCAGCCTTCAACCATTTATGAACAAGGCCCTTATGACCGCATCACCTCTTCAGAACCCCACATCTTAATACTGCTGCATTGTCAATTAAATCTCATGTAGGACTGGGGGCGTAGTCAGTAATGAGTGCCTTCTTAGCGTGTGTAAGGTCCTGCGTTCAATCTCCAGCATAAAAAACCAAAAAACTGTAACTTCTGCTCAGTACATTTATATAGCACCATTCGAATTGCTAAAGGAGACACTTCACCATAAATGTCACAAAAGTCCATTTGGAGCCTTTAGACTATTCAACAAGTGGGTTATGAGGTGGCTGAAAAGAAATTGCCTTTCAGTGGGGAAAAGGCTCTGAGTGGTGTTTTAAGGGAGCTCACTTTAGGACAAAGTACTGGAATGTACTGGAATGGGCAATTTTCTGTTGAATCCCTTTACTGTAGAATCTTGTCTAATTGAAGTTGGAAAGCTACTGAATTATAGCAGGTACTGCTAACGAGGAAAAGAGAACTAAAAATGACTTGTTTTTTTGAAGACTAATTTCATTAGTTTTTCAGTAAGCTGTCAAGGGTGGATAGATAGAGGCCTCGTTGGAGTGGACTGAGAGAGGGATGCAGGGGAAGGAGAGACGTTATTAAATGTGGAAACAGGTGTGGAGGTTACAGCTGAAATAAGTGTTGTCGTGGTGAAGTTGAAGAGACATAAAATACCCGAACAAAGACTGGCAGAAAAGGTTCAGTAGATTCAGGTTGAAGATTCAAAATATAATCAAAAGCACTAGGTTCATAAGGTACAAAGGATTGTTACATTTATTAACTGCTTACCATCTCTGTGCTGCTTTTTTACCCATGTTATCTAATTCTCATGATAATTATACAAGGTGGTTACTGCATTTTGTTGATAAAGAACACCCAGAGGTCAAATGTTTCTTGTCATATAGTTTATTATCAAGATGGTAGAGCTGGGATATGACCGACAGCTCTTACCCATGTTTGTGGAAGCTCAGGGTATTTAAGGGTCTGTTTCATATAAGATAGACAGCAGATTTTAAGTATGAAAGAAAAAAAAAGGGGTTATGTTTCAGGATACAACTTTTTAAAACTCTTTAAGAATGGGAGAAGCAGCTGAATGCCATGGGCTCATGCTTGGCTTGTAATCCTAGTTACTCAGGAGTCTGAGAATCAGTTCAGCCTGGGCTGAGCAATCCAAGAGTCTTATCAATTAACAAGCAAAAGCCAGAACTGGAAGGGTGGCTCAAGTGGTAAAGTGCCAGCCTTGAGCAAAAAAAGGCAAGCAAAGACACCAGACAACCTCTGGTACTGAAGGGGAAAAAATGAGGAGTTGGAGAAAATGAGATCAGTTGACTTCAACTTTTACTGATTTATACATTTGTTAATAATTTTCCACACATAGTATGTAAGGGGTGATATTCCTGGGAATGGAACTTACCTGGAAGCTATGACACAGGATTTAATAGAGCAATTAAAGATCTAGATGGCTACATTGTAAACGTACAAACAAGACTGACAGGACTTGATAGAATTGTACTCAGTCTCACCGGAAATGAGACTTTTTAACTAAGTGGCTTTAGAGCAGAGTCTGGACTATTCAAAGCACACAGAATGTAGATGCAAATCAGAAACCAAGTAATGAACTATGCCTGTGTCCTTGAAGCCCTGTGCCTGTGGCTCAAGCCTATAATCCTAGCTACTACTTGGGAGGCTGAGAATTGAAGGAACTTTACTGCTGTGGTGGCTAGGCTTACAGAACTCCTTCATGTATAGCTAGCAACAAAGGGCACAATGTGGACGTTTTGAAACCGCAATTGTGGGCTAGCCTAGGCAAAAAAAAAAAGTCTGAGACTGCTGCTGTATGCAGTGATATACACTTGTCATCCTAGGAATGTTGGGAAGCCTAAAACAGGTACATCATGCATGTATACATATGTGTATACACACACATACATATTGAACATGGCAGAACAAATCTTTTTTTTTGCATATGCATATGCTAAGAAAAATCCCCAATGTTCACTTAAGATAGCCATGATGTTTAGTGTGGCGTTAGCATACCAAGCCACAGGGACCAACGAACAAATTTATCCCAACTCTGAATTTAGTTTTTTGTTCAATACACGAATTGAAATTAGAATTTTTCTATTAGAAGAGGAAAAAAATTCCTGGAGTATAGTTATTTGGAAGGTACTTCTATTTACATATCAGAACCAATGAATGAAATGATGAAAATACCATTTTAAAAACTTAATGCTGTCTTCCCCTTGCAACTTGGTCTTTTTTTTCTACTTACTTTTTTTTTTGTCCGTTGTGGGGCTTGAACGCTGGGTCAGGGCTCTGCCCCTCAGCTCTTCAGCTCAAGGCTAGTACTCTACCACTTGAGCCACAGTGCCACTCCTGATTTTCTGGTGGTGTATTGGAGCTAAGTCTCACAGACCTTCCTGCCCCGGCTGGCTTCGAGCCATGAATCTCAGATCTCAGCCTCCTGAGTAGCTAGGATTACAGGCATGAGCCACTGGTGCCCAGCTTTAATTCTAATGTGCAGTCCCACAAGCAAGATATTTGAAAACTAATGGTAAAATGTTTGAACTGAATAAAGCCAAAGTTCTTTAAACCAAGTATATGTTAAATTTTACATATTAACTGTCTACCATCCAGACTTGATGTTTTAATATAGATAGGTCAACACCTACATTAAAACAATATAAGAAATGAAAACAGAATGACCCCTGAGGGGAGTCTGACATATGTAAAAATACTCCAAAATATAGTTTATAAACAGAAACAATTGCTCTAGTGCCTGTACTCTTCTAATTCTAAATTTCAAGATACAGGCTTTTTAAAAAGTCCACACATCAAATATATACCGTATAGTAATTCAGCTCACAAAACAGGTTTGACTCACATTCTTAAGATTTTGAAACCAATTATTCAAAGATTCTTTGACTAAACTCAGTCCATTTGTATGACTCTACTGAACAAATGAACTACACAACAGTAAGATGAGTAGCAATAAAATTATAAATACTTTTAGTAATTAGATAAACAAAATAACAGCACTGGTATTAAATTTTTTTTTCAGTTTCTTATTGGTAGGCCTGTTCCTCATTTTCAAATAATGAGGATAAAGTTATCACAACAAAATATGGGAAACTGCTTTCTCTTTATTTAGACCTTGTAAGGAGAAAGAAAGGAACTTTGGTCACATATTACCTTAAAAAAAAAAATCCAGTTTTACATATTTCTATAGTCAGGACTAAGTGATCACAGAAATAATTTCTTCTGTAAAAACCGGTCAAATTTTATCAAAAATCTAACATACAATGTAATCCAAAGCATATAAAGATTTTTTGGGGGTTCCTGACATTGACAGTTGTGATTCCATCCTAACAGGTGTTAATGTTCATGCTCCCATGTTGCTTTGGTCCAAAAGAGAAGAGCTGAATCAGTAAAACTAAGTATGTAATATTTTGCCAATAATAATTTATGGACTGTGATCAGCAGCAGAAATATTCATAAGGAACAGTTCTACTTTAACAAATTAAGGGAGTATTTTTCATAAACGTCACAGTATCAAATTTTTATGAGAAAAATAAGGAACAAACAAACAAACAAAAGGTGAAATAGCTACCACAAACAAAATTCTCTCCCCCAGTACCCAATACTGCATCTGAAGGGGTAAAAAAGGTGAGGTTAGAGGGGTGATGATGCTAATATGAAAAGAAGTTGAGTACTGTATTTATTTAATTTTATACAACTCTTACCCTTTACAAAAATGGTTATAGTCATGCTCATAAAAGTGTAACCCATGACATTTGAAAGCAAACACTCTTTGTAATTATTTAAAAGGGCCTTTTTAAAAATTATAATACAAAGGTCTGTGCTCTATAAGCAGTCCTCCACTGTGCATTATAACAATAAGGCTTACTTTTAATACAAAGACTTAAGTATTTTGGAGTTATGAACCACTAGATTTAACAAACATCATTTTGTAATTGCTTTTTGCATCTTTTTTGTTTTTCGGATCTTCCACTTCATTGGGGTGTTCAGCAGCTTGAAGTTCTTCAGCAGATTCTTCTTTCTCTGACTCTGAATCACTATCTGAGTCATCAGGACTTTCAGGGTCAGGTGAATCATCATCATCATCATCTCCAGCCACATCACCTTCTCCATCATGATCTTCTACCTAAAACATCAATAGGTGCTTTTAAAACAAAAAATTAGCCAGTTCAAAGGCTGGGAATGATTCCAGTTTTTATCTAATCTTAAAATCAGCCAACTTCATAACCATTAGATCAATATTTTTTTTTTTGGGGGGTCCGGTTGTGGGGCCTAAACTCTTGGCCTGGGCGCTGTCCCTCAGCTCTTCAGCTCAAGGCTAGCACTCTACCACTTGAGCCACAGCGCCATTTCCGGCTTTTTTTTTCTGCTTATGTGGTGCTGAGAAATCCAACCCAGGGCCTTAAGCATGCAAGGCGAGCGCTCTACCACTGAGCCACCTTCCCAGCCCCTAGATCAATATTTTTAAAACTATATTATGATCTGTGACTGATGAGGCAAGAACTGATGACTAAGGAAGCAATCATTGCCACACATTTTAAGGGTTTTTGTTTTTTTGTTGTCGGTTGTGGGGCTTGAATCTATCC